AGGGTGGTAAACATTAAAATCTTATCTTGACATTAGTTCTCAATTCAATAAAGTAAACACCGAATTCATGATAAATCTCACTTACTTTGGAATAGAACTGTAAAAAATATATTCGCATAAAAAAAATTCGACGAAAAAAAAAGTTCTAAAAAGTTCTGATGGAAATTGAATTGTTATCATTTTGCTCTCTCTCTCTCTCTCTCTCTTTGTTATCCTATTGTTTTGTTTCCTCTTTCAGGGTAATAAATGTTTCACCAGAACTGAATTACCCTGTAGATTTAATTTAATTTGATTCCTGTCAAAGTTTCTCAACAATTTATATAATCATAATAATAATCAATTCCCAATGTAAACAAAATTAAACTTTGTAATATATTAATAGTGACTGATTAAAGTTGATTCTTGTGTCTCTAAAAGTTACAAAACAATTTAATTGAACAATTGATTACAATTAATTTAAATTCTTTTCTGTTTACTTTACTGTTACAATCAATGATTAGTTGACAATTTACGATAATTTAACGATTTACTTTATTAAACATTTACCATTAATTTAATAATCAAGGTGAGGTTTTAATTTATATATATACTTTTACTTTAATGAAAACTTGATTAAGTTTATCAATCAATTTGTTAATAATGTTTACAATTAAATAATTGATTGATTTTCATTATTATTTTGTATTTTCTGTTAATTGTTGCTGTTAACAATTCATTAAATTAAATATTTTAACATCAATAATTATATAATCATTTCAAAGTATTAGTATCAAGGTTAAAGGAAAAATTAATTTAATCCAAATTAAGATTAACTAATTAAGCTTAACTGTCAAGTTAATTGTAATTATCAAAAAGTTAACAATGTTGTGTTGGTTGATATTGATTGATCAGCAATTTATTTACTATTTTTCAATCAAGAACAAGTTAATTGTTATCAATCAAATTAACTGAATATCAATAACCAAATATGATGATTAGTAGTAATCAGAAGCTGTTAAATGTTCAACAATTAGTAATAAATTGTAATGATAATGACAATTTATGATTATCCCAAATACTTAAAGTTTGAATGTTTGAATTTTTTTTTTGGTGTTTTGATTGTGATTTAAATTGTTGCTCGTTAATTGTTGATAATTATTAACATTTTCTTCCACCTCTTAACCAGCACGCAAAAACGTGCTAATAAATGATTGTGATTAACTCGAGATGATGTTTATTTTCATCGTAATCATTATAATCATTGTTGTTGATTATTTTCATCACTTCATCAACAATTTAATCGCGATGATTTTTTAATTTAGTTTCATTTCATTTCATTTTTTGTGTTCCTTTCACCTCACAATTGTTGCATAAACTTGATTGTGAGTTAATTCATGATTTAAATTGTTGTTAACAAATTAAGGTGATCTCAAATTAGCAAGAAAAAAAGTATAACGTTGTAACAATTATTGTTAATCATAAATTAAAAAAAAAAGGCAAACTTGAAGCTTAATCAACACAATTCAATTTGCAAATTGTTGTGTTACTTTTTTTTGCTAACTAAATGGTCAGTTGGTCAGTTGCTGACCTTATCCTTGTTAAGATTATTATTACACAATGATACAGATTAAGTAGGATGATAATGATAATGATGATGATGATAAACATTTAAGCCTTTGATGATTTGAAAAACTTTTCAATGGGTTATTTTGATTGCAATTGATTCATCCCAATGATTTGAATTAAAATTACAAATAGTTTGATATTAGTTATTCAATTTGATTAAGATGAAGATGATGATAATGATTAGGATGATAAAGGTGACGTGAGAAAGAGGATATTTAATGATTTGAATTGTGATTCTGTTCAGTTGTTGAATCATCACCATCATTTGCCCTGAATTCTGGTTCATCTAAATCAAAGGTCACAATCAACAATTGAAATAAATTTATTATTCACTATAAATATGATTATTTAAACCTCACAGAATCAGTTTGATTTGTTACGGTTAATCTAGTTTGATGTTATTAACAAATCACCAACGTCCACTACATTGGTCAGTAATATGATTCACATTGTTATACACCTTTAAACATGATTTACCTTTAAGAAAATAATATATTTCATTGATTGGCTTTTCTTCATTCATTTCAACTCATTCATTCATCATCACAATCAAATTAGATGATGAATACAAGACCATCCAGAGTAATGGTCAGCAAAGAAAAGCAGAACTGACAAATATGCGTGAGCAATATTATTCAACAGTAGATGATGGAGATGATGATGATGATGATGATGGAGAGAAATAAAATGCTTACCTGTTACTTCATCATCATCATCATCATCATCAATAGGAAAACAATGTGTTGACTATTCTCTTTGGAGAAGAATAAAAAATAACTTTTTTCTCCTCTTCTCTCAAAGGTAAAGGCCAATTCCATATCATTATTATTATCATCTTCTTCGTTATTGTCAAAATGACAGTTACAATTGCTTCTTCATCTTCTTTCATCATCTTTCTTTCACGGTTTCCTTTCTTCTTCTCTTTCTATCATCATTATCATCTTCACCTTTCCTCGCTTTTCTATTACTTTTAACTGACTGTAATTTTCATTTTCAATTGGAGATAATGAAGGTTACAGGTAATTTTATATCTTTCATCGAACTTGTAGCCGAAAGAACTTTTTCTCTCTACTCTGTCTCAGGTATGATAATCATTAGAATGATGATGATGATGATGATGGAGATGATGGAAAAATTAACTAATCTCCTCAGAAGAGAAAGTCAACAATCATCAATGGTTATCATCCATTATCTTCACTCTAGAAAGTCAATTTCTCCTTTGGTGAAACTTTATCCCACCTTCAAATTGATACAATCGCCATTGTGGATAATCAAATAGCCATTGTAATCTTTATCTTTACTTAATCCAATCATCAACAATAATATTGACATTGAAAAAGATTTGATTATTTTCAACAATCAAGAGGATAATCGAGAGATAATCATTTACATCACAATTCATTTTCCATGTGGATCAAGAGGGTGAAAAAACCGATGAGAATCAATGAAAATATCAACGGAAATCCGGAAATTCAATGGACACAATTTAGTCTCTTCGATATTATCATCATGATGATGATTTAAGAGATGAAAAAAATTCGATGATCATAATTGATGAGGAAAGCTGAAAGATTTTCGTTGTGATGGTCAGTCAATTGTTGGTCAGTTACAATGATGAACAATAATCGGTTTTTCTAGTCAACGTTTATCCGTTTCTCTTATTAATCTCCGGCTCTCATGGATAAAAACATTGACACGTAACAATTTAACTTCATAGGTTGATTATGATTAGATTAATGATGAGAATAAGTTAATTACTATTAGCAATGATTGCGTGATTCTTGATTGTAATACTCTATCCTTGGTACAATTACTGACCTACTCTGGTTTTAAAATATCATATGAATATGAGACTGACCATTTAAAGTAATAGTAAAAGTTAATCAAGTTTCTACAGGAAATAAATTGCGTTTTCGTTAATAGTTAATTAACCTTAATCATCCCATTGATTATGTTTCCTTGATAAATAATTACAATGTTATTTTTCACAAAGGTTTGATTACCTGTCAACAATTAACTTTAATTCACTTGACAGAGACAATGTTGATTACAATTTAATCAACTCAATCTAGTCAAAAGTCATTGTCATTAATTTAATAACAATCAAATTGATTTTTTTTTCACTTGTTTCGTTAATTGTAATTGTAATCAAAGCGTTGATAAACTGTTAAAATTGATGATAACTTGTTGGTCTGAATGGTAAATTAAATTAAAAATCTCACTTTGATCAACCAATCAATGTTTAATTGTTGTTGAAATTTTTACTAATTTAGTTTAGATTTTGATTTACTTACTGTTCAACAATCAACTGGAAATACCTTTACAATTAATTAACTTCACTCATTGTCATTATTATTGTTATTTTCAATGGTTGTTTCTATTAATAGTTAATCAAGATAATCAAATAAATAGTTCATTGATTGTTGTATAGCTTTATCATCATCTTATTATATTAATTGTTATCGTTAATTAATCAATCATCAGAATCAAAATGAAAAAAAAAACTTGATTCAATCGGTTTTTAATAAGGTTACCAAGATAATATTCTGGTTATTACCAATAATTAACAATTGATTTAATTGTTAATTAGCCGCAACTAATTTAGTTAACTTTTTCTGTTTAATTTTCACATGACAATAATCAAGAAAAAAAAGTAATTACATTTAAATGAATCAAAGAAAACAACAATTAGTTGATTATCCTAAAAATCATAGGATTTTTTAATCATATTAATAATTGAAGATTAACTTGATAATACAATTTCAATCAAAACAATCAAAAGGTTTTATTAATTATGGACAAACAATTAACATCATATCACAATCAACTAATCATGATTAAGTTAATCATCAATTAGATAATCAGAAACATCACATTTTGATTTTAATCTTTGATTAAATCTGGAATGATGATCGAAGGTGATTAAGTTAATCATCACACTGATTAACAAATTGATTGTCTAGATTTCCACAAGAAAGTAATTAAAATCTTAATTGTAATTAGAGTAAAACTAATTAAATCCAATTCAAATGCTATTTTTGGGTTTATCAGTTTGCATTTTAAATGACAAATGCAATAGTCCGACATTTTTGATTAAATCAATACAATTATCATTACAATCAGCCAATGTTTAATTGTAATCACCTTTGTAGTTGTAAATTGATTAAAATAGCAACATTAATGATGCATAATTAAATTGATTAGTATCTTGATTAACTGTAAAGCCAGTATAATCTGGATTGAACAACCACTAATCCAAACTCATCCCGATAATCATAATCATCACCATTGAATTTCATATTATTATTTGTATTAATATCTGATCAGTTAATCAAACAATCAGATGATTATCATTAAATTGAAATCATCAATATAAATGTCTGAAAGCATAATGGATTTGATATCATTTATAATTGAACAATTAAACGTAGGGAAACAATTTAATTGTTTGTGAAACTTTTTGATTTGTTTCAAGTTGACAGTTTTTCTAGTAATATTTGATTAAACAAACGTTACAATTAGTTGACCATCATCGTTAAAATGACCATTCAACTTTTGGATAAACTTTGGCCTCAATTTTTGCGTTTCCCTTTCCGTTACTATGTCATGTTTTTATCCTCCATCAGTGGGGCATTTATGTTTGCCTCAAGGTGTGTCATCAATGTGGCCATACTTGCAATGGTCACTACTCAAGTTTCACCAGGAACTAATAATCTAACTGACCAAACATTGGTAAGTCTCTTGAGTCAAACGAAAATAATGTTATTCAAATTGTTGTTGAAATTAATTGTGTTGATTGTTTGGTGATAATTTGTTGTTGTTGTTTTATTTTTATCTGTCCAGGAATCGATCAATGAAACTCAGTCAATCTCATTGGTCAAGCTGAATTCAGCACCAACTTTTGATTGGAATCAGGCTCAACAAGGGGTCATCATTGGTTCCTATTATTATTCATACACTGCCCTTCAGATTAGCACTGGTTTTCTTGCTGATAAGTTTAATGTGGTCAAGCTAAGTGGACTTTCTCACCTTTTAGCTGCACTGGCCACTTTAGCGATCCCATTAGCCGCTTCAACAAATTATTACCTTCTAGTTTTCACTCGAGTTGTACTTGGTTTTGTTCATGCTCCAACTTTCCCCTGTTTATATATTATCTTTGAGAAATGGTTCACCCCTCAAGAGAAAGCATTTGCTCAGGCCATAATGACCGTTGGTACCAATGTCGGTGTAGCCTTTGTAATGCCAATTACCGCTTGGTTGTGTGACAATGGTTTCGCTGGTGGTTGGCCTTCAGCTTTTTACTCAATGGCCACGGCTAATATCATCTTCCTAATCATTTGGTATACAACAGTTACCGCTGATCCAAATGAAAGTTCATTAACTAGTGATGAGGAAAAAAAGTTCATCTCTGCCCATGTAGTTCAAATACCAAAAGAAAGGTAAAAGTTCATTCAGACAATTCAATATCCACCCTAATGATAATATCTCACCTTCAGCTCTTGATTAAATCAAATCTTTCTAATTACTAGTCAATTATAATCCTTGTTAATGTTTAAATCTCTCCCTTGTAACAATAACCACATCACCAGGATACAATTTATCTTGAACAATTAGTTAGATTGATTTGAGTCATATGAATTATAATAATTTCATCATCAATTAATATCATCAGTTGAGTTACTATGAGAATCAGAATCAGAATCAAAATTGAAATCAGTTTATCATGAAAAAGGTAACATTTGATTCCCTGGTTTAGATTGTTGTAAACTTTTTTTCCTCTTCCATTTACCAGTCAAAGTTAATTAACTAATAACATTTAATTGAATCACAATTTAGGATAACAAAGTGACACAAACAAAAAAAAATGATCATCAAGTCTCATGTTGTGTTTTCATCATTATCATTATCGTTATCGTCATCATGAGTTAGGAGATTAAATTGTTACAATGAGATAACTGTTCCTAATCAATTCTAACAATTAGGATAAACAAAATGTTCAAGGAAAAGTTCATAGATTAGATTATAAGTTTACAGTCCTCGGCAAAAGTTTAAAGACAACAATCAATTGATTGTATTATGAGTAACATTGTCTCAGGAATATATTTGCTATTCAATTAATCCTATTCAATATTGTAAATCTAATCTTCTTGACAGAGTTAAATTGCTATTGATAAACATGTCAAAGATTAACTGGATTAGATTATAATTAATTATGTAACTTTTTTTCATTCTCTTCTTTATAATTAAATAGGTCAAGGTACCTTGGAAATCAATGTTTACATCACTTCCTCTTTGGTCAGTGACCATTGGCCGAGGAATTTGTTCCCTTGGTTATCATACAGTTAATTCAAAGATTCCTCTTTACCTTGAGACAATTTTAGTTATCAACTCCAGGGAAATGGTTTAATTAATTCAACCTTTTACCTCGCTGAGGCTGCAGGTCAGTTTATCAGTGGACCTTTGTCAAAATATATCGCAACTAAAGGTTACCTTAAGTTAACGGTGACCAGGAAACTTTTTGAATCCATTGGTAAGTTTATCTTATTTTGATTGAGATTTTTTGTTTTTCAATGTTTGTTTATTGACCTTTTCATTTTATTGATGTTGACCTTTACCTTAGCCCTTATTGGACCAGCTCTGTTTTTATTGGCTATTCCCTTGTTATCGGGTAGAGCTGAGGTTATTGTTATTGGTCTGATATTGACCATGTTTACCATGGGAGCTTCATCTGGAGGGGATATCCCAATTGTCCCTGAAATGGCCCCAGGGCTTGTTGGTACTGTTTTTGGTTTTGCAAACACTTTCTCATGTGCTTCTGGATTCTTGGCTCCCATGGCAATCGGTGCAATACTTGGTGACCAGGTAAATAGTTGATTGAATCACCAAATTGAATTACAGTTAATTGTGATCACCATAATAATCATAACATGATAATAATGCAAAAGCAAAAGCGATCAATGTTTTTACTTTGTTTCTATTATGTGATTTCATAGATTTCCGTGAGCTAATTGTAAATTACAATTACGGTTATTGATTATTCAAAATGTAAAACAATTTAAATTACATTAATTGTAATTTTGTTTTTCTCTTTAATTGTTAATCAGGTTTTCTCCGAATCAAAGTGGAACGTAGCATTTTATTTCTTTGGAAGTCTTCAAGTTCTGGGCGCCATTTTGTTCACCCTGTTTGCAACCTCGAAACCTCAATCATGGGCACTTGTTGAGAATACAACTAAATCATTTAAATCTAAATTTAATAATGGTAACAATTTAAATTCAATTGCAATTGTTGATTCAAATTCAACAGTAACAACAATCAACAACAATCCACCAGAATCTGTTGAAATGACTGATAAAAAGGTTACATTGAATGAAACCAATGAAAATATTTCTTGAAAAATTATCCACAATTTAATTGTTGTTAATCAACAGCAAAAATCAGTGATTTAAATTGTGCATATAATCAATTAATCAATCAACAATCAATTCTCATCATCATTTACAAGTTAATTATCATTATCTCTCAGTTCAATGACAACAATTGATTGAGTTTGGTATTGAAAGAGAAAATCAATTTTGATTGTTTCATTGATCAAACAATTAATTTAATCATAATGACAAATGTATACATTATTGGAAAACCTGAAAATTACCTTTAATTACTCAATTAATCAGTGACAATCAACCAGGGAAACTTTTACCAAGTTTGTTTCATAATCATAATGTTGTAAACGACAATTAATTAGATTGTGAAAATTTATCTTTCTTCATTTGTATAATTTGATTAATTATCATAATTGTAAAGTTAATTGTTACAACATTCGAGGAAAGTATTTAAATTTTTTTCAGTTAATTGTTCATCTCATTGACAAAAATCAACAACAACGACAATTCAAATGATCTCAAACTCGATATGATTTGTAAAACAATTAACTTAATTGTACAATATTTCATCCACTCACCATCACAATTAAAGATTCATAACTCAATCAATGTCTCTTAACTAATCAACTAATTGTTAATAATCAAAAACTGTTCTTTTTTCAACTCAACTGATTCTAATTGGAGCTAAAAAAATTTCGATAAATTTAATCTTCACAATTACTGTTTTCGAAAGTAATTAAAACTGGTGATAACTTATCGAAAGTTAATTAGCCTAAAGGTGAGATAATTAATTCTAATATTATCCTCGATTCTCATCGAATCAAAATGATCAATTCCTTGCAGGGAAAACGAAGGTACTAATCAATCAGATTGTTCCAAGGACAATTTTCGTCATATCAGCTGATCGTTAGTCGATTCGAAGCTTATTAATAGTTCTAATTCTAGGATAAGTTCAAAAAAAATCGAACCGACGATCAGAACAAAAGTCGAATGTCACCAATATTCAAATTCTCCACGATTCTTATTGAACAAATCAGCGAAATCTAAAAGTTCATATCGATTTTAATACGAATTCAATTAAAATTAGTTCTCAATCTTAATCATTGATTTTCTATTTTCGTATCAACTGATTTGATTAACTTTTTTCTATAGAATCGCTGTCACAATTAACGATTTATTAACTTAATCATTTGAATTTAGAGCTGAAAATTTTTTCAATTCATTTCAGTTAAATTAAAGTTAATTGTTGGTTGAACAGGAAAACATCAATTTCTTATTATTTAATGAAAAGATTGATAATCAATTTGTTCATAATCATGATTTATCATGTTAATTATCAGGTTTCTCTTATTCTGATTTGTTAATTAACTGACTATTAATAAATTATAATACAACCTGTTGCTACCTATTATTATCATTGTACAGTTAAAGGAAGATGATGATTAAGTTAATTGTTTGCAAGAGCACAAAAAAAAAGTTTAAACATTTCTCAATGATTATCATTTACTAAATCAAATGATTAACAATCAATCTCATAATTTTAATCACTATTAAACTTATTATTGATCATGATTAAGGATCAGTAATTTGTTTTTCGTTCATTCTCACTGATTGTTTGTAATCGTAACAATTAATATAATCAAACACCAGAAATAAATCTAAAAACATAGTTGATTAAATTGGATCAATTTCTGTTGATGATTAAAAATCTTCATCTTAAATCATTCAACTGGTTTTAATTGTTACAAGTAGAAATGATGATTAATTTGAATATTCAAGAGTTAATTAGCAATTGGAATACAATTAAAGTGTAACAATAATCATAATTATCTAAATTGTCACCAATAAATCATTAATCAAGTTATAATAAGATTATATTAATAACCAATGAATATATTGAATCATAAATCAAATGGAAATGTCCGATTGTGATAAATTAAATTATCCTGATAATCAATAATGATGATAATTGATGAAAATTTTGATTAAGTAATTGAACATTGAAAATAAAAAATTGGACACAACAATCAAGTCTGTTAACTCAATTTGTTCATATTGAATTCAGTTTGAAAATGAAAAAAACACAAAATAATCAGCGATTAACATCACCAGCAATTTACAACGTTAGCCGACAATTAAATAGTAAATCATCAGGTAAATTGCTCAATAATTTACAACAATCAAGTTCGTTAAGTTTATTAACAGTTCGCTCATCGTTAGAGACGAAAAGTAACAAGAAACGTTGGTCATTCATCGTTTTCTTCATTATCGTTGGGACGTTATTTTGTTACATTCAGATTGCGATATTAACGGAGACCATTGAACGACATGATACCATGTTGATTCAGAAGATGATTTATCGCAAATCAATGGTTCCACCCAATTTATCGTTCTGTTTTGATATCATGCGTTGGGTGAATACAACCAAGTTGTTCAAATCTTTTCCTGAGGTATTAAAACGTACCATCAATGAACAACGGTCAATACCTTACCTGAGAAACTGGACATTGGATCGGATAATTAAGGAACATGAATTGGGTGAAAAATTTTGCTTCTCAATGTTAACGGTGGGTCAATTGTCATCTCATTTGGTTCCTCTTTCCCTGATCATGGATAAATGTGCTTACCTGACACCGAGCTTGACCATGGCTCCTTGTAATCAGTCACATTTTCACAATTACATCTTTAATTGTCTTAATTGTTATGAGTTTACTTGGTTTCCAGAAGGTAGAATGGACATGACTGAGCCTATCTTTGACTCTCGAGGGCTTTTAACTCCAGGATTTTCGGTACTTCGTTTACTTGACCTTCACCTGAATTTAACCGTTTTACCAGGTATCAATGAGATAATTACCATGGCTCATCCTCCTGGACGAGTTCCTTGGAAAGATGAATCTGAGCTTCATAAGTTAATCTGCCCTCAGGGAATGTCAATCACTTTTGGATTAACATATCGAGAATTGACCAAAATTAATCTACCCAAACCTTTTCAAACTGAATGTACCAATCATGATACTAAAAATTTAGTCACTTCATCAGATCGATCTTGTTGGCATAATTGTTCAGCTATTCAATTCTCACAATTAACTGATTTCTATCCTCGATATGCGATAACCACAGGAAACGGAAGCAAGAAAATACTTGACTCTTATCATAAACAAGAAGCTTTCATCAAGCTGATCAAGAGATTGCAAAAAGAGTGCGTTGAAAAGTGCGGACGAACGGATTGTCTCGAGAAAAAGTTTCCCGTTATAACGATTTATAGTCCATCTCGACCAATCGCCTCGAACGGCAAATATGTGACCATCCATTACAGTCCACCGGTTCTTTATGAGAAAATATCAATTAACACCCAACCCATCATTTGAACTTTACTGGACTTCGGTGACCACGATTATCGCCTTCATGTTTGGTGTTAATTATCATTCAACCTCATATCTTATCGTTGATACGATTCACAATTGGATAATATTATTGTACCTCAAATCTAAATATAAAAAGAAAATGAAAATTAATCAATAACAGTTAAATAACAATTAATATGATCGGTTTTCTTTCTGATAACCAATTGATCACATTTGAAAGTTAAGGTTAGTAAGATTTGGAGAAAATGATTAATTAGTTAATCAAGGTAAATTTTATTCTAATTGTAAGTTAGTTGTTTCTCATTTAATCTTAATCATTGATCATAAATCAATAAAATATTAAACATTATTATGATTATATCTCAAGGTTCAATTCTCTCAATTCAGTTTCATGATCATTTGAATAATAATATTTAACAGTTGATTTATTACAATTTAAATTTAAATTTTTCTCATAGATTTTTTCATCAATTGCTTTAAGCTTCAATTGTGATTCATTTCTGATATTCAGGGTATCACCTTCATCCATTAACACAATCATCATGGTGTTAATATGAATTCTGAGTTTACTTTTTTCTTCATCATGATTCTCATCATTTGAAATGTTCGTGATCAAAATTTACATTGGAAAAAGAGAAGAAAAAAGTTTTCTCTTTTAACAATTTTCTTTATTCTCTTTGTAATACAACATCAACTCAGAATTGGAAATGTAATCGATAATTTTTTGGTTACTTAAATTGTTGGAATTATATTGTTGTAATTAAATTGTTACTTATCAATATAATCCAAAGGTAAAGTTGCTCGTAGCAAGATATTTAGATATATGTTCAGATTGATTAACTAATCAATGGAGATTCAAAGTACATGGTGATGATATTCAAATATTCATATTGAGAGATAACTGATCCATGATGAGAGAGAGAGAGAGAGAGAGAGAGGGAATGAGATAACTCTGAGTTAATCAGAATCCATGGTGAACATGGAGGGAAAATTATCTACCTTTCAATGAACTTTTATATATTCACCATTGAAAAAGGTGATCTAAATTATTCCGCTCCAATAGTCAGGGTGGATCGATAATCAAGTTCATCCAATGAATGAGTTTCTATTTTACTAACAGAATCAATGGTAAATCATCATTTCCATATTTTGATTAACGAATTGATTAACCTATTCATCAACTATTATTAAAGAGAAATTAACATTTATCTCAATTGTTATTAATTGTCAATTTGATTTATTATCATTAGATTCAATTGAGTTCTAATACAGGGAAGAGGGGAAAAGTTAATTATGAAGAGAGTTTTTCTTTACTGTATTAATTTAACTGATTAGTAATTAATAATTTCAACGATAATTTGATTAACTTGACCCTTAACGATTTTTACTAAGTGTTATCATCGTATTGTTTATCATTAATTTTGAGTTTAAAATTAAGCAGAGCGTTAATTGTTAATGGTGGTTATGTTTTAATGAGATTAACAAATGGCTACTTGAATAAATTGTTAACTCAACTTAACACTAATCTGATTGTTAATCATTGACACTTAACTTTTTCATTTTGTTGACCGGCTAATTGTTTACATTAAAAAAAAAATTAGGGGAAAAGGTAATATGAAAATTTTAATTGTGATTAACTGATTGAATATTAAGGTCTATCAAGGTTATTTAGATGATTAAGATAAACTTACCTTAATTAGTTGGTTGATGTTAACACTTTTCCCTTTGATTGTTGTTGTTGATAAGTGACCACAAAATTTAAATTGTTACTTTTTCACTTGATGGATCGTTTTAAATTGTCAACCATGAATCTGTGATACGGAACAAATTTAGTGATCATTAATTTGTCAACAGATTGTGACAATTAACCTTCAACACGTCAATGATTAGGTGACAGTTACATTGTGTTAATTAATAACAAGAGAAATGATCTAATCAAATTACTGAATTGATCTCATATTAGAATGTTAATACAAATATGATTGGAATTAATTCAATTTGCTATTGATCTAATTTCTGGTTTAAATCTTTTCCAAGTGAGAATAAAAAATTTCTCAATTGCAATATTGATTGGAAAACTGATTAGCTTTAATTCAGTTTGATGATTGAATTTCGGTCCACTTGACATATCAGATTCACATTTGAGTTAATCATTTTTTGTTTTGCTGAATTAAAAAAGGAGAAAGATTAACATTTCAATTAGCTTGTTAGCCGATTAATTAACACAAAAATCTAACAATTAACTTTAACAACAAGGATTGATTATCTTTGAAGAGAGATAAACATTTGTTATTGTAACAATCTCTGTGAAGTGATTAATTGTTTCATCACCAGGAAGGATTAACCAGACATTTACTATGGAAACCCAATGGATGTTGACACAATACAGAATATAAGGATGAAACACAGTTGAAGGGGAAGAAAACATTAGAAACAATCAGATTAAAAATCCAATTGTAATTAACTTTAACTAAGGATTAGATTTGTGTCCAAGTTAACAACAAATAAACAGAAACAAAGAGAAAAGATAATCACAAAGTAAAGAGACAAAAGAAAAAAGGATTAACAGGTAATCACATTGTCTCAGTTCTTAATTAGCTAATTAACAAAGAAATTATTTATCGACTAAATCAGTGAATAAAAATCTGGAGAGAAAACTAATTGTAAACAATTAACTTAATCAATCAAATCTTCACATTGAACTTGAGAAAAGACACTAACTCCATCTAACGACGGTCGATGAAACTGTCAAATTTTCGCGCGAACTTCAAACAACCTTCGAAATCAAATCGAATCAACAATTAGTTGAATTAATTCAAATCGTTCCGAATTAGTTAACAGAATTATGGAAATAATTAGTTATTTGAGAATCAATTTAGTATTTCAATTGTAAGAAGAATATTTTCCAATAATCATGATGATTGTTTTGATTGACTTGATTTGATTAAAATGAAAATATTTTATCAAATCAACACCAATGATCTGGTTAATTCAATTAGATAATTGTTAATCAGTAAACTGCTGATTTATTTATATAAATCAGTATAATCAATATAATCATAAATTTACCAATCAGCGCAATCAAATAAATAGCAAATTGTTGATTGAGTTACAATCAAATTAATTACAAGCATTTTGATTTTGTATTTGTGTTTAATTCAGTTGATTTTTGTTCATTTTCCCAATGATTAGTTAATTGTGACCATTAACATGAACAAACAAATCGGATTTTTGGCTATTATTTATATTGATTTAATTTTGGGTGAGTAAAAATTTCAATTGATTTTACTTTTAATTTTTAATTGTGAATCACAATTAACTGTTTGATTGTTGTAAAATTTATATTTTGTTTTGATCAGGTTCATATGGATCTCCAATTAATTCAAATACAATTAACAAGAATGAACTATCACTTCAAATTGAATCAATTGTAAACAATTATCATGTAACAATTAACTCGCAAATTGTTGACCTCAATCAACGTTACTCAAATTCATTGAACAATTTAGTGTCTTCAGTGAATTTAATTAGACATCAAATTAACTTACAAGTTAATCAAATGAACAATAATATCACAATGATTCAGAATTCTGGTCATCAAGATTTGAACAATTTGAGACAAAAATTGAACCTAATTGTCAACAATTTAAAGTCCAATCTAAATGAGCAAGTTAATTACTGTAAAAACAATAATCAGGTTGATCATAATCAACTAAATCTTGATCGTGATTTGTTAAATGGTAAAATTGATTCAATGATTAACCAAATTAACCAACGGATTGATGATAAACAAAATCAATGGTTGACAACAATTAACACAATAAGAGACAATTTAAATCACAATTTAGATGAAATAAACAAGATAATTAACTCACATTCTGATCAGTTGATTGAAACATTGAACAATTGGAGATCTGATGATTTAATTAAAACTAATCAACTAATTGAAAAATTAAATGATAAAGCAAACCATTTACGGAACCAATTGTGGAGTCAATTATCAATTGATCAAGTAATTAAATCATTAACTGATTTAATTGATTGGAAAAGTTCAACACTAGAAACAAATGAAAATCAAATTGAAACTCAATTAACTGAAATTAATTCATTTTGGTTGAAACAATTAACTAATGATGATAATCGGACAAAAATTTGGTCTCTATTTCAATTGGAAGATTTAAATTTTTTCTCAACACAATTAAAACAATCAATAAACGATTTAACTAATTCAATTGAAAAAGATACTAACAATTTAGCAATTGAGATGAAAACTATTTGTACAAAGTGAAAACTTTTATTGTTACAATTTAAATTGATAATTAAATGTTAATCAAATGAAAAGTAAAACCATTTAGTATGTTTGTTATTACTTTCGGTTAATTGTTGATGAATTTTTCTTATCCTTCATATTTAATTGTTGGATTAACAATCTATAAGAAAACTTGATCATCATCATCGTCGTCGTTGTTGCTTTTTCTTGGACGGTCATCATTAGCCAACTGACCACCGCTGAAGCTGCTTAATGAGCTTCGTAATCGGCTTAATTGTAAAGCTGAATAATTAGGAGTATTAACCTCATAGGTACTATCAAATTTACTGTAATCAACTCGATACTGACCACTGTCCATCCGATAATCAATAACTTGACAAAATCTTCGTCCCCAGAAAATTTCACTTGGTAAGTAGGAGGTTCGAGTCTCAATGGTTTGTCCAGTTGATTCAATGACACCGGTCAACATGAGGACGATTTCAAATTTAGCCTTGGACAATTGGTCTGGAGTCATCCAATAGAACGGACTTGTTGCATCGATATCGTGAATTATGGTCGCAGGCCACATGAGAAATATTTTAGCTCCACAACTTTCGAATCGTACCTTTAACGATTCATGATAATAGGGCAGAATTTCACCCTCTTTGGTGATCTTTTTAGATATATAAATGGCCGAAACGGAAGCATCGATGATATAAGAACGATTTCTGATATCACCGACCCGAAAGAATAGGCAAAGTTTACCATCTCTTCGGGAAATGACCGCATCTCGACTGAACATTAGGGTAGATGATCGTTTATTAGGTCTTGATAGTTTAGCGAAAACAAAACCCACCACGAAACACTGAATCATCGCCCCGATCATGGCCTGGACAAGTAATAATAAAACACCGTCTAGACAATCATCTCTTGGATAACGATTACCGAAACCCAAAGTGGCCTGACTTTCAAATGAGAAATAAAATGCTGAAAGGAAAGTTGATATACCAACGATACACTGGTCATCACCGGAGGGACGGTCAATATCCCCGTGGATAAAGGCCAATCCATACCAGCAAAGAGCAAAGGTAAACCAGTTGAACATGTAACCACCCACGAAAACAAGTAAATTGTATCTCCATCGGAGGTCAACCATTGTGGTCAGTGTATCTTGAAGGTAACGCTTATTACGTGAGGTCACTTTTTCTTGGGACAAATTGATGGCACCACTTTTAAGGACAATACGTTTACGTATCCGCTCAGGGTAAACTCTAACTGGACCAACGGGTGAAAATCGTTCATATTTAGTTGATCCAGTTGATAGATGACCATTAGGTTGATAATTAGGTCCAATGACGGTTGAAGATGAAGTTGACCCCCGATAACATGGAGATTCAATCGGTAAGATTGGTAAAGTTGATCGGTAAAGATAATTGTTTGTTGGAGCATTTTTATTATTCTTATTACCATTAACTGATTGTTGATCATTTAAATTGCGATGTTGATTAATTTTACTATTATTTAAATCATTTGAGCAAGAAGAAACCTCTCTGATTGTGATTAGGGGGCGAGAAAGTTTTCCTTCACAATTAACTGATTCACTTGGAGGATTAACAAGTCGTTGAGTGACCAGATCATCATTGGTACTCATTATTATTTGAATATCACTTGATTAAATAAAATGAATTTACAACAATCAACTAATTGAGTTGAAATTAAGAAAAAGAAAACAAAATTTACTTGTAATTAAATGGGAGGAAAGTTAATTGTTGCCTTTGATTGTTTACTTGTAATTTACTCTGAATGATGAACATAAAATTGCGAGTTAATTACAATTAAGTTAACCTAAGTGCTTCTTGATCAACTAAAAAAGATGTTGATGTTAATCGCAATTAAATTAACCATCATAAAGTAATTTGTTGATTAACATCATCAACCAACCTCCTTGTCAAGATATTGTCCTGATTAATTTGGTTTCAATGTCTAATTGTTTATGTCGTTTACCTGTAATTAAATGGGAAACCTTTGATTAAGTGATTTATTTATATGAAAATTTATTTGAACTTAACTAATAATTAAATTGATTAATTGTTTGCTGATTGATTGATTCAAGGGCAATTTTGTCCAAGGGACTAAAAATCAAATCAAATTTAATCTGATTGGTGATCATTTCAATCATTTTCAATTAACGGTTTGACAGTTACGATATTATTTGATCAAATTATCATCTCAATAGTCAAGGACAATTAACTGATTAACACCACCAAATCAACAAAAGTGAAAACAATTAATCTCATCATCAAGTTTGTAACAATTAACTTCCCGTTGTTGAAAACTAAATCATCGAGAAACATTTCTCAATAGTAATTAGATTTAATCATTTCTCTTAATGATACCTGGAGATTATCATTATTGTAACAATTAATCTTTAACCATTTCACATTTTCAATTAGTTAATTGTTATAAGATTAAATCTCTGGATTAAACCCTTTCCATTTAATTGTTACTGTTTCTAATTATCATAAAAATCACAATTCCATATTCCTACATAGGAAATTTGATTGTTTTGGTTAAATTCATGTTCCAATGGAAAATTTAATTCCAAACTTGATTAATTGTTAATTCTCGTTTATTGCAAACCCTCCCCTGAGGATCAATGATTTAAACATTTTCCCACCTTTAGGCGGTACTACCGAGCTAAACGCTCAGTTTACAAAAAATATAATATATTTAATATAATAATACATTTATTTTTTAGTTAACAATTTAAGAATTCCTTTGATTACCTGGAAGAAAATAATTAGCGATCTAGTTTTGTTTTTTTTGTATAATAAATAGTCTTGTATAGTATTTAAATTTATAGTATTTTAGTGTATAGTGTTTGATTAAAGTTGAAATTGGTACCAATTGTTTGTAAGAAAGGTGAAAATCAGGTCCAAAGATAGTTTAACTCATTAGATTTTTCATGAAAAGGAGAAAATAAAATAAAATTAGAATTTCAAAGAAATAGTCTGAGATAGAGAAAAGAAAGTTGTATCAATTCACAAATAAACTTACCAAGAAAACAAAATGGTTGAGGTTATTACGACGCAATAATATCTCAGTTTTGAGAGTAACAAAAAAAAACAACTAAAAAAACTGTTGAACTATCATACTTTTGGTATCAACTTGGTCCGTGTGGTAAGATGAACAATAATAACACAAACTTTAATTTAAAATTCACAGGTAAAGTTAATCAAATTAAAATTTATCAGGAGCGAAGAAAGTTAATCTTTCCTACAGATTCTCCCTCTCGTGGATTTTAGTCATTAATTAATACGCTAGATGGCGGTGCAAGTAAAAAGAATTTTTGATTAACCGGATAGAAAAAAAATCCGGACTAATAACCGTTACCGCGATTCAGTTCTTTTGATTTTTTTTTTCACTCTTTTCATTTGATTGTTTGATTTTAATCAGACAATTGTTAGAGTTTTTGTTTGTCTTTAATTAAAATTAATTAGATTGTTATTACTTGAACGTTCTCTTTGATTGTGTTTCAATATCAAATTGTCTATTTATTTAGTTAAATTGTTAATCACATTCATTTTAACGACGATACTCTCATTGTTGAGTTACTTTGCCCATCAATTAATTCAGTTTTTATTAATCATCTTAATCACAATTATGACCAAATTTAATTTAACCAAAGGAACACTTGAGACGAAAATCACTCCAATTAACGATGATTATTTAATTAGTGATAAAGTTCTCGGTCTTGGAATCAATGGAAAGGTTGTTGAATGTGTACAAAAAAAGAATGGAATCAAATACGCTCTTAAGGTAAAGAGAATCTTTTTCTATTCTATTCTATTTCATTTTATTCTATTCTATTCTCCATTTTGATTTTTTTCTTCGCTTTACCAAAGATTCCAATGACCTTTTGTTTCTTTTTTGAAAGCTAATTTTCCAAACATGGGTTGATCCAATACTGATCATCAATTAATAGCTAATTGAGTCATCCGATCAACCTTGAGATTTAGCTGAAAGAAGCCAATGTTTTTTAGATTGATTAATACTCAAATTGTGAGAAAAAATTCTTTTTTCCAATGCAAGGCTATATTTTCTCATATGTAATTTTCTTATGTATTCTTCTCACATCAATACAAATCATCAGCTTTTCTTTTAATTTTACGTTTGCCTTATTTTTCTTTCGATAGTTAATGAAATATATTAGCCAACGTCAGAAAATGAGAGTTAATTAAAAGAATAACATTGCATGGAGATGCAAAGATAATCAATTATCAGAATTTTTCTATCGTCAAAACTCATGTTTAGATGTTTATCTTGCTAAAAGTGATTAACATGTAATAATCTCAATACTTTTTTCCCATTCTAATTAATTGAAAATTTTTCAATTAATTTTACCTTACAATTAATTACTCATCAGAAAATATTTCTAACTCTATTGTTACCCTGAAAAAAAGGATAGAATATGTTAATCGTTAGCAATCAATCGCTGTAGTAAAAGTTAATTACGTTGATTATAATTTAATCGTTTCTTTCTCTCAATTTAATTTTAAGCTTAATTTAACGAGAGAGAGAGAGAGAGAGAGAGAGAGAGAGAGAGAGAGAGAGAGAGAGAGAGAGAGAGAGAGTTTCTTACATTAATCAATCTAATTAGAAATAAGTATAAAAGCAATTAAATGAAAATTCTCAATTTCTGTTGATTATGTTACTCATTATTACGTTGGTGTTTATTGATTGTTAGTAATAATTTACCGAGAATTAAATTTCAAATTGAACCTCAAATCAATGAAACAAGTTCCAATCAACCAAAATCAAAGGCTGTTAACAACAATCATAATCATAATTTTGATAGTTAATTGTATACTTACAATGTAAGTGAGCAATATATTGAAAATAATCATTTAAACAAAACATATAATTCATTTAAGTATCAATTTGACCCTCAGATATATTGAATTTATTTAAGAGATTTCCAAGTTAATTGTGTGTTGATTTTTTCAAATCAAAATGATGCAATCCAATGATTAATAAATGATTTATCACTCTACTGTTGTAATCATTATGGTTCACTAGTATTTAATATTTTTAGATTTACTAATCAACCTAAAATCAGACAAACGTCATATAAGCTGAAAAAAATGATGAATAAAATTGCATGAGATAAATAACACCAAATGATTACATAGATTAACATGATGAGCCTAATCATCTTAATCATATTACACACTAACAACTAATAGATTAGTAAAAATCATCTCTTGTCCCTGAACATTACAAACTATTTAAGCCTCACAATCTTCAAACGACAATTTGATTCTCATCAATAAGTAAACAATCAAGTCTTTACCTTCTTAATTGTTGTAATAATATCATGTGTTAGATTTACTTGGATTTCAGCCATAACTCAGCAAACCATCACCACCATACCCTGAGTGCGTGTTTGTTTACCAACAAGATGATTGACAAAACAACATTTAAATTGTTCAACAGTTTCTAACGTTGTTTCCTCTCTCTATTTATTATTTTTAGCATAACATTAAGTCTTGTTGATATTTTTTGTTTTTCTCTCGTTTAATTTCATTACTCTATTCTCGTTGATGAGATTTTTTTTTCCTATTAATTTATTATTACTTTTCTTTCCGTTGGGTCTATTTTTAACCCTCACATTGATATTTATCATTGAATCTTGTCTCCAGAATGTATATATTATATGTCAATATAATTCATTAGTTTCTCATTAAAAAGATTTCAAGTAAATGAGAAACTTTTTCCATCTACTCGAGTAATCATCAATACCTATTAAGATGTGAATATTTTTCTTAATATGTCAATGAACCTCCTAAACCTGCTAATTTATTATCAGTGTTTACCTTTTATGCTAGACGAAAACCCAATTCTAAACATATTTAACCATCTCTTTATTGATTGTTAATTGATTTTTGATCACTTCAACCAGGATACACATTAATGTTTGGGTAGTTTAATTTATTTACTGCTGTATCCGTTTCCCATTAATTCCTCATCAATTAATTACTATTGGAATCTCATCATAATCTTAAATCCATATACCAATTTTCATCTAATATTTTTATACAATTTTAATTGTTTTTTATTTTTTATTTTCTCAATAATAATCAAGGTTCTTCGCGATAGTCCCAAGGCCCGAAGAGAAGTTGAACTTCATTGGAAAGGTTCATCATGTCCTCATATTGTCAACATAATTGATGTTTACGAGAATCCTTATGGCACTCATAAGTGCCTCCTGATAGTAATGGAATGCATGGAAGGTGGTGAATTGTTCACACGAATCCAGGAGAGAGCAGAAAATGCATTCACTGAGAGAGAAGCAGCGAAAATAATTCATGATATTTGTGAAGCGATACTTTATCTTCACACCAAGGATATTGCTCATCGAGACCTGAAACCGGAAAACCTTTTATATACATCGGAAAGTAGTGAGGGTCAATTAAAATTGACCGATTTTGGTTTCGCCAAGGAGACAAGTTATGCGAAAAGTTTACAGACACCCTGTTATACACCCTATTATGCTGCACCGGAAGTTTTAAGCAGTGAAAAATATGACAAATCGTGTGACCTGTGGTCACTTGGGGTTATTATGTACATTCTGCTATGTGGATATCCACCCTTCTATTCAAATCATGGATTAGCAATAAGTCCAGGAATGAAGAAACGTATTCGTGCAGGACAATATGATTTCCCTGAAGATGAATGGAGAAATGTAACCAAAGATGCTAAAGATTTAATAAAAAAGCTTCTCAACACTGATCCAGCTAAAAGATTAACCATTGAGGAAGTTATGAGACATAAATGGATTAACAGATATTTAGAAGTTCCCCAGACACCATTATGTTCAGTTCGAGTTTTAAAAGAAGATCTTGACCAATGGGTTGACGTTCAAGATGAAATGACCCAAGCATTGGCCACAATGCGTGTCGATTATGATTCTGCTATTCATTTGAAAAAGCTCGATGCAACTAATAATCGTTTATTGGAAAAACGAAAAAGAAAAACTTAAAATTTTCTATTATGATTTTAATCATCAATCACCAGAAATATTATCATCAACAAGAGCAGCAAATTCAATTAAAAAGGATAGTGCATTTTCTTGATACCAATTAAAATCTATTGTGGTGAAACCAGTTGATACAATCAATTGAAGAAGACCCAATAATTAAGTCATATTTATGGTACATATTCTGACTAATTGTATTAATCTAGCTGCTAATCCATCAACATTGGAATCTAATCACAATTTATCTAATCAACCAACTTTTCCCTATCCATTTGATGACAATAATTGTTAATTAACTCATGATAATTTCACTTCAGTGACCATGGAATGTAAATATTTTACTCTCACAAACAGTTAATCTCTTTCTCTCTGTTAATCACAATTAACTTTCTTTTTTGTTTTGATCTTTTTTTTTCTTGTTCCATTAATTAAGCCTTGTAAAAATAAGATGAAAAGGTTTTTCCATGTTCATCTCAATTATATCATCAACTAAATTTAATTTAATTTCAGTCAATTGTCACTTTTAATTTCTTTCACAATCTTTACATGTGCGGTTACCATGTATAAACTGATCCAAAAAAATTGTTATTAATCCATTGAGACAATAATATAATCACAATGATTAGGATACTTACGGAGGATTAATTAACTTGGATGACTTTTCTTTTTTTCACTAAAACAATTGAGATAGAGATAAAAGTCTCACATTAAGAGTAAAATTGCCAAGTCACCATGTTTTGATCATAGAAAAGTAATGAAATTAAATTGAATTTCTTCAATAGAAAGTAATTAGAATTGATTGTCGAGATATTGAAGGAGGAAAAAAACCCTCCACAGAGTAGACAAAATGTTGTTGATGATTAGATTTCAAATAGAAGATGAAACAATCAGTTGGTAATTAAATTTCATCTCGGTAACATTTCACAATTTGAACTAATCTAAATAAGTACAACATACAAATTGTCTTGCGACTCATGAACAATTAAAAGTTAAGATTATCTAATTTGTTGAGAGGAAATCACAATCACAGAATCTCTCAACTTGATTCCATGAGATGTTATAACTTAGAAGAAGAGAACAAAATAAAAAGCTAATCAGTTGAAGTAAAACCAAAAGGGAGAATAAGAGAAGACACAGAAACAGAAAGCAAATTGGCGGGTAAATTGTTAACACACACAAGAAAGAGAAAAAGAATTGAATTGAAATTAATTAGAAACAAATTAATTCCAATGATCAATTGTGATAACAAAATGGTGGACACAAGGACAACAAGAATAAAAAAGAGGTAAAAGAGAAAAAGGAAACAAGACAAAGAGAAGAAAAAAGAATTGTTGATATTTTTTTCAATTTCTCTTCTTCAATTCTTCAGTTGATTGGAAATGATTAACAATTCTCTTGAAAGAATTAACCATTTTAATTGTGAACAATTAAAAAAGAGAAATTGATTAACATTCACCTTTTCTCTTGACAAAATGTTCGGTTGCCGGTTCACTTTTCAATGGAATAAAATTTTGGCGATTGGGAGGAGCAAAGAACGAGAAGAGAAAAAGAGACAAGAAGGAGAATCGAAAGAAGAAAAGAAAGAGAAGAAAAGAACGAGAAGAGAGAAAAGAAAAATTCTCTTTACTAAACATAGACAATATTCCGCCGCCATACTTGAAGATTTATCATCTTCTCTCTTTCTTTCTTGTTACACTTTGTTTTTTTCTCTCTCTTCTCTTCTCTTTCTTTTTTTATTCTTCTCTGTCATTTCTTTTATCTTCTCTTTCTCTCTTCAAATCTTCTCGTTCTTTCACTTCTCTTTCTTATTCTTCTCTTCTCATCTTGTTCTTCTCCTTCTGGTAATTATTACTTGTTTTTTTCTCTCTCTCTCTCTCTTTCTCTCTCTCTCTTTTTCCAATTTCATGGATTGTTCTAATTATTTATTCTCCTCAACCTTTATAATCATTTTAATCCATTCCCATAATCCACCATAATGTCCAGTGATTTTACTTAATTGTCATCAAAATCTTTCACTCATCACTTTCATCATCTTCATCTTATCATCATCATCATTATCATCCTTTGGTTTTTCTAATCAACTCAATCATTACTCACTCTTACTCATTTGGTTTCGCTTTCATTTCTTCTCTTCTTTTTATTTCCCCCTATTTATTAACAATTAATTATCCAAATTTAATGGTTAACCCACTGATCCTCCGATAATCAACATCGATCCCACAATTCAACCAACTTTACATCATCTTCATTAAGCCTATTTTTCTGTCGATTACTTCCTTTTGTTTAATATTACCTCAACTTCCTCTCTGTGTCCTTTTTTCCTTGTGGTATTTTCTGCCTTTTCTTTTCCCTACCTCTTCGTGTTTTCTTTGTCTTCCACACCCCAAATAACCACCACCACCACCGCCATCACCATCGCCATTGCCAGAAAATGTTACTTCCAATAATTGATTCCTTCATAAAGGAAGTTAATAACCTTGCTGGTGACCCAAACTCACCGTCATTTGATGAAGAGCTAAGCTCTTGTCTAGTTATAATGGCAAACGAAACTAATCCAGTTAATTTGGGTTGCAAGTTTTTCATGCTCAACATTTCCTTAACCATTTTACGTAAAATATTAACTTATTTAACCATTTTGAAATTACGTTCTGATTCACTGTTATCACATGATGGTGAACCGATTAACCAAACGGTTTTAACGCTTGCATTGAAAGGAATAGTTTATGCCATTGGAAGGGAAGAAGAGCCAATTGATGAAAATTGGAGAACAACTTATCGTGAAAATCTAAATCAACCAATGGCCATGGAAATTTCTTCAGGAGATGAGAATCATAGAATGGAACACATTAGACCGAATGATTCAAGCCTTCCAATAAAACTTACCACTCCCTCTTCAACAATTGTACCAACATCGGGACGTTCTGTTCGCCAATCAACTTCCGCTCGATCAAGTAAAAATTCAACCGAATCACCACCGAAAACAATGACAGGACCAAAACCGGGAACATCTAAGCAATCAACTTATAGACAAAGTTCAAACCGATCAGAAAGTGGTGCCAGTGATGAATCAACCCCAGGTAAACAATCAGCTAGAGGATTATTTACCCCAACTAGGGGAACTGGTTATCATCATCTCACTACAGGACGAAGAGGTCGAACCTCATCAATTTCATCTACTTCTTCAGTATCACCATTGTCAATACTCGCACCGTCTCCAACACCCGAATCCCGTCCTCCTGAGACTTCACAAAGATCCTCTCCTTCATCATCATCGTCAACAAATTTACCCATTAGACTTCCGGTTATCCAAAAGCATGAGCCCATGGTGGTAAATCCTGAACCCTCCACAAGTCATATTGCAACATCATTCTCACCATTGTCTACTCATTCATCTATCTCAGCATTAGCATCATCCTCAACATCAACATCCGCACCTCCACCTGCACCTTCCGTGCCCACATTTGGATTAATCGTATCCTTTGGAGGAAGTGTTTCCATGCCGATTTATGATGAATTAATTCAAGTTTTAGATCCATATAGAGATAGAATTGATACATCACCGATTTGTGCCGATCACGTTTTCATTAAATTAAAATGTAAAAAGGATATTTACTTCTTGAAACGCCAAATTGAAATACTAACACGAATCATGCCTCGAATAGTTGTAACCAAATTTTCCCGATTTGCACTTGATGTTCCAAAACAATTAGCACCCACAATCAAAGAGTTTGTTAATCTTAATGTAACTATATTGATAAGTGAATATTATGTTTACTCTCGACCATCAATAACTGATGAAAATTTAACAACAATTGAGATTCTTGCCAATGCTGAATGTCAACAATCAATTGAAAATTCATCTCGTTTACTTAAAATTGGTGAACAAACTGGACGAGCCATTCCAATAAGATGTTATCAAGAATGTTCAAGATGCTTTTTCTGTTACGATGATGCTCACACCGAATGCTCACAAATGTCTCTCATGGAAATGGAAGGATTCATTTGAAAGAAACAAAAGATTAATTTTCTCAAAAGCAGGTTGAAAGTTCCTAAAAACACTTCGCACTCAACAAACACAAACATAATCACCATATTCCCAAGCAATTGGATTTTCACGGAATAATTTCCATTCTAAAACTCTTTCTAAATCTTTTTTCCACTTGATGGTTAAATTTTCCTCCCACAACTACTACAATTACCACCGCCACAATTAATCTACCACCACCAATACCACATTTGCTGATGAATATATTTTCCTTACACTGAAACACAAAGTTGATCATCTTGATCGTTAAATGTTTCCAAATAATTTATTTTGACAAAATTGGTCTTTTAGTTACTCAGTTAACTGTAATTTATTTGATCTCTTTCGCTGTAACAATCACAGAGTATCACTTGTGATTTGTTTTAATTTGTTTTTCTTTTTTCTTCATTGTCTTTTATTATTTCCTTCTCTACAATCATTAACCAAATAATCCCAAAGACAATTTCGACTATTAACATCAAACAGCGTGTTTGGTGGACAATCGTATTCATACATTTGATACTTTTCCTCGATTGAGATACGAACACATCGGTAAAATTTACGACAATCAGTTGGATGGATAAAAGTACCAGGATATTTGCAAACAGCACCAATTGGATTACCAACTGATGGTTTTGTCGTTGACGATGATGATGATGATGGAGACCATGTGGTTGATGATGAAGATGCCGATGTCCACGAGGTTGATAATGTGGAGGAGGGTTGAGGCCACCAAGTTGACGGTGATGAAGTTGATGAAGGTTGTGGCCACCACGTTGACGGACTTGAATGAGCAGTTGAATAAGTCCAGGACCAGGGTCGATCGGTTGTCGTTGATGTCCAAAGACCATTGTCCGGTTTATGTGTACTAGAACCATGTGGAACTGTCGGTGTAACTGTTATTGGAAATGAAGTATTGGAACCTTTCAACTCGTTGATTGCAGCTCTTATCAATGGAAATTTAATCCCGTCAAAACATTTACCGCCAAAATCATCGTTCTCAATGGACGATATACTTATACCCGCCAGTCCGTTGACTCGAGCAAATCGAGCCTTCAATCCGATACTTTCACGATCATCGTAACCAATAAATTGATTACCTTTACAAGTAAATGGAACCAGAAGATTAGGATCGCGTTGGATTATCCATTTTTCATTCTTTTGCATTGAACAGATCTATGAATGAAAAGAAGATAAATTATCATCAATCATCTTCCATTACACATATCATTCAATTAACATATCCTATTAGAATTAATTCTCGTTAATTAATCCAAAATTCATCTTTTTCACCTGATTCACTTATCATCATCACCTTAGGTTTTTTTCATTTCAAATTAATCGATTTAATCATTTCCCCTTAATAAGAAATTGATTTAAATCAAACGCTCAAATTGAAATTTACTAATCAATCTAAATTTATTAATTCTAATTACTTTTTTCTTTTTCTTTCTCTTTCTCAATTAACTAATCTTTTTTTTCACAATACAAATATTTCTACCTCGAAGTGAGCTTCCAATGAGCACCCAAAGTACAAAACTTTATTTTCACAATTAACTTTTTTTTTCTCGATGATTTCTTGTTCATCATAATCAATGGCTCACTTTTAATTATGTAAAATTAAGCTCTTAAATTGTGATTCACCAAATTGTAACAAAAACAAAAGGAAATTTTTTATATTCAACTTTTAACATCTTATATAAATTGTCAAAAACAAATCATCAAATTAACAAAAAAGATGAACAATTAACCCCAAACCATTTGTAAACTAAATTGACTTACCTGATTAAAACCATACGACCCCAATTCTGGTACAATTGTTTCATCTTGCGAGGGTTTAATTACTTTAGCACCAATCGCACAATCAACGGTCGATTCCTTAATTGTAAAGCTCCGTCCAAACGTTGCCAAGCCGAGAACCAATTTACTTGGTGAAGCTCCTCTTTCAATCCAATAGTTAATTGTGTAATTCTGGGACAATTGAAATGATCGAAAGTTACAATTTACTTTGATTATTACGATTAATCAGTTAATCAACTCACAACATTGGAAATTGAATCGATCCCTTGATCAGCTGATTTATCAAACAAAGGTGAGTGATGACCAGTTTTACCTTCCCAACCTCCGTGGTAATCAAAAGCCAGAACGTTAATTAAATCAAGATACCTGAACGAACAACAAATCATCAAATTAACGGTAATTAAAAGGTTGAGAATTAATTTGTTATAAGATTTTCTTACTCTGACAATTTAGCGACATCGTAACCACTGTCGATGGTTAATTTGTTTGCCGAAACCGAAGCGGTGATTAAATAGTTTTTAGGTTTAAGCACTTCGACCAAATCACGAATTAAGGTCACGTATGATTGTTTATCCTGTGGGTTCCCGCCTCGGGCTGAGGGAAATTCCCATGCAAGGTCAACACCATCGAAACCATAAGTGTCCAAAAAGGTTAAAATCGAAGAGGCGAAAATTTTTCTTGCTGAATAATTAGCGGCCATTGATGAGTAGCGAATTGAACCTTCGTTCCAACCCCCAACACCGATGAGTGTTTTTAGATTAGTGTTGATCTTTTTCAGTTGATTGAAACGACGATAACCCGATTTACCTGTGGGCTGGTCGAGGTCAATTGTTGGATCAATTGATTTAATTTTAGAATCACTGTCAAGACCGGCAAAGGTATAAACCAAATGAGTACATAAAGTTGGGTCGATATTTTCAATCTGTAATTGACCAGAGGAAACGGATGACCGGAAGCCACTCCATGAACCGTAATAGCAAACAACTGTATCCGATTTACCTTGACAATTAATGGAAAGATTAACATTTTAATCAACACAAACAATATGATGAGACAATTTACTTACTTGGTGATTTAACCGATGATAATATTGGTTTGGAGGTTGAAGTTGTTGTTGTTGTTGTGGTTGATGTGGTTGATGATGATGAGGATGGAGATGAGGGTGAGGGTGAGGGTGAGGGCGACGAGGACGAGGACGAGGACGGGATCAACTTTGGTATTAATTTACCCACCGAAACGACCCTCGGGGCACCTTCGCGTTCATGAGTGGGCAGTCGAGGTAAACTAATTTCAACATTACACAAATCGACTGAACTTAATCCGGATAAGATTAAGATGGAGATGAATTTAATTAGGAACATAATTTTATTGATTGTTAGATACAATTACCATGTAATTAGATTAACTTTAATTATAACGGAAGATTAAATTTAAAAGATGTTTAATTTAAAGGTGAATTTTAATTTCAAATGGATCCATTGGTTGATTTGTATTACAATTTAATTTAATTTAAAACTTTCTTGACCATCAATGAGAGGGATTCATATGAATGAATGGATGAAGAAAATGATGAAGATGAAGATGAAGATGATGATTGAGCCGATGAACTTTAAAGTTTATCTTCATGGAAGGAGGAAGAAATCATCTTCCATTGATTATCAATTTAAATTGCAAGTAATCAAATTAGATTAACATGTTATTCAATTGGAGAGGATCAGGTAAGGCAACTTTTCATTTCTGGTTTTCAATCAACAGATTTTTTGTTATAATCGAGAAATCAAATCAACTAATCAACAATTAGTGGTCAACTTTTGAATTTACAGATTTCTATTAAGTCACTTGTTAATTGTTCATCGATTGATTAGGATATTGATTGATTGTGTTGATTGGAAAATATAAACTAACGGAATTGGGAAAAAGTTTTTTCTTGAATGTGAATTACAAGTTGATTGTATTGGGAAGAGAAATTTTTTAAATCCAGTTAAATGATTTGAGTTCATTTAACTTTAATTACTATTAAGTAATCATATTTTTCTGTTACGGGTCTTTGACATTGTCCAATTTAATATTGATTTAAATGATTAACAATTAACCCCCAGGCGATGGGATTGCGCTCATTGACCTTTGGTCAAATTAGTAGATACAATTAAAGTAAACGATGCTATTGAACACTAATTAAGATTTAACAACAATTAGATTTGGTTTTTTATTTTCCTCGATCATTATTATCCAAATGGTTAATAATCAAACAATCCCAATCTTTTTTAAATTGTGATTTCCGAATCAATTAAATCAACTGGTTTTGTCTTTCGAATCAAACTTGAATCGATTTGAACTGTTCTAACTAATCAACGAATCAATTACTATGTAAATCTGTGACAATTAAAGGATAATCATGAGATTAAATCAACTAACCAATTGGTTTATTTTTCCATCAATTTTGTCATTAATTGTGGCACCATTCAAGACTGTTAATTGTTACCAATCAGATCCACCCATTGATGAGTTTGATTGTTCAATTTCATCTGATTGTATTTCATGTGAAGGTAAATCAAGGATCACAATTAAAATGTCGAAAAGATTAATTCTCTCTTTCCAAAAATTTTTCTCTCATACCCTCAGGCAATTATTTGTCCAACGGATGCAATTGGATTGATGATTCGTGTGTCCAGTCAAATCGCACTGAATCAATGATTAACTCTTGCTTTCAAATTGAATCATTTTCCCCTTTGGTGGCTCTCACTGATTCAACGATTCATTTAAAGATTCTTGTTTCCGGGATAACATTGAATCCATTTAGACACCAGGTAATGGTAAGATTGTCGCCTGGGGGCGATTGTACATTTGAATATATGTTGGAAAGGGAAATTAGTTGTCAACCTCTAAGTCCAAGGGTTGGCTCATATTTTATAACGATTACATTGAGTGACAATCGTTATCCAAATCAACTGTTGGCCCAATCAAATACAATTTTCGTAATTAGTGAATCTCCAACAACAATATTACCTTCAACTAATTTTGTTAATCGAATTGAAATTAATCTATTTTACATAGTTAGCGGGATTCTCGTGTTAACTTTATTCCTCCTCATGGTTGCCGCTGTTCGAGGTCAAACTGGTTCATCGAGATCATTTCAAAAATTTCGCCGTGATGGTTTCAATTCGGGGTATCGATCATCATCTACAACCTCATTCACTTCTCATAAGGATTTCGATCAACCCAATCACGTTAATCGACCTCATGTACCTTTAGCTCATCGAGTCCAACGAAATCCTTATTTCCCCAAATCAAGTACCAATCAAAGTTTCGGCCCGTCTACTGTTCAGTTCACTGGTTATAGTACAACGACCAGCGCTAATCCCATCATCATGAGTGAAATTAAATCCGTGAATACAACTAATCCTACCAAATTATTTTTCGATGCCAATCTCAAGCGATTAAATGACCAGGTAAAGTCAAAACAAGTGACCACTCCGTCTACCGCGACGGGTACTAATGTTGAACCGAGTGGAATAAGTAATTACTTTGAAATTAAACCTCAAACCAATAGGATTTCAAAAGCTGCACCAAGTAATTTCAAACGATCTTAATTACTTGTATAATAATCATCATAATTTGATTAGTTTTCCTGAAACATTTCAACTGATCAAATTAGATCCTAATATATATGTTGATAATGATTATTCAGATGAGATGATTTTACTAATGAAATTGTATTATTTACAATAACAACAAAAATTGATTGATTAAAAATCCTTTTCAAATTGAATTACTTTCTGATTACCAACAATTATCTAATGATGATGATTATTTCATTATTGATTAACTGGAAACACTTTCAGATGCTTAGATGATTTAATGATGATTAACAATGAATCAAGAGTCAGTGGAAGATATAAAGTCGTTCAAGTTCAATATGAACAATTTAAAGAGACACTGAAACTGATTAGCGACTAAAAAGATTGAGACTATTTTTTTAAATTCAAATTCAAATAAAAATGAAAAATTAAATTAGGAATTGATTAAGATTCGATATTAAAAGATATGAATATCCGATACTATCGATTCCATTTGTTGTATGAATAGGAAAAATTTGATTCTAAATTTTTCATCATCTTTTTATCAATCAGATTTAATTAACTTCTCGTTCTCATGCAGTTAATTTATTGTAAATTTTAATTGCGAGTGAAGGCCAACAATGTCTACGATTTTATCGACTAAAATAATGAGGAAAATTGATCCCAATCTAATTCCAGAAAAGGTTGTTGGTATTGTTAACCAAAAACCCGAAGGAATTTTGATTAAGATGAAATGGAAGAATAAAGAAGATCGTGATTATATTCCATCGTCGATTGCTAACAAAAAATGGCCTCAACTTGTGATTAGATACTATGAGCAGAGAATCCGTTGGACAGAAGTCTGGTAATTATTTGTGATCAAAGTTCGAAAATGTTTATGTACAAAGTAAGTCGAAAATGATTTCATATTCTATTCTAATAACATTCATGTACTTTTCTAAATAAGGAATTGTGATTGTTAAGGATTAAGAGTAATTGTTATTATCACGTTTCGTTTCATTTATAATAATTCAATTGGGTTTTTAATTGATTATCACTGGAAAATATACATAATATTAATCGTAACAAGCTGAATGTAACTGATGAAAACTGATGGGAAACAAATTCTGCTGGTGTTTGGTTAATTTCAATTTAGCTTTTGAAATTAATTGAATATGAACCAGTATCAGGATTTTTAACCATTTGGAAATTATCAGTTGATAGGCCGAATTTATTGAGAACAACATTACCGATGTCTTTCAATTTTCCAATCATCTCATTTTTCATCTGTTCGTTACGTTTGTCAATCTCTTCTTTTAACTGGTTAATTGCTGGATAACATTCCTTGATTGTTGGATCAATTTTAATCACCATCTCATAATCTTCCAATGAAAGGTCCAATTTATCCTTTCCCATCTTTCTATAAGCTTGAGCTCTCTTTAGATAGGGTTTAATATACTTTTCATTAAGATCAATTGATGATGAACAATCAGCTACACATTTGTCCAGCCAACTTTCAGTCTTTTCCTTTGTCTCCAAATTATCTTCATCATCTTTGTCATCTTCTTCTTCTTCTTCTTCAACCTCCGTTAAATTGTTCCTTCCTTTATTGTTATCATCGCCATCAGATTGACTTGATTCTTCACCATGTTTATGGAAATAAGCAGCAGCTCGATTATTAAATAGAACAGATCTTTCTAGAATATTGGTTAATGGACACAGATTGATTGCTTGTGAATATAAATCAATTGCTTCATCAAGTTGATTATCTTTAAATTTGGTATTTCCTTGTTGTTTAAGTTGATCACATTTAATTTTCATCTCTTCAATTTCCTCAGCTGATAATTGTTGTAATTCTGGTTCACCATTTGAATCATTATTTTCCAATTCTTCACTTGATCCAGGTAGATTTTCCATCGTTATCTACTTAAAATACACCTAAAATTTATCAATTCAATCAAATAAACCGGGGGAAAAGGTCACAATAATTAAGATAAATGACAATTAGTAATTGAATCAACAAAACAATCAAAAGCAAAAATCTGAAAGCAAATCTGATCGCGCTCACTACGCCATCTTTTGGATGGAAAAACAAACAATTTGAAATTTCTCAACAATTAACAATCACAATTAGAAAGTTAATCTCATTTAGATTTTCAATTCAACCGAGATTCTAATTAAACATTTCAGTTCACATTCTATGACTCTGTTTATTTAATTAATCTTTCAGACTCTCAAGTTATTAACTTTTCTAAATTTCATCTTTTTCTCTCTAGATTCAGATCATTAAATTGTCATCATTTTCTCGCAATCAAATCAACTAAATGAATCAAATCATCATGAATCTTAATCACTTGATTATCTATTGTGATTATTACATTCCTCTTGTGTGCAATTCCTCTTTAAGGTGATATTCATCTTGACTTTCACTAATTATTTCTCTGTTTAATAATATTAATTGTAATACAATCAATTGGCAGATAATGAGACTCTCTCTGAAAATAGCTTAAAATCACTATTAACACAGCAAATTTAATTTCTATTAATTAATTACCGAGACACTTGATGAGCTTTATGAGCATCTTTTCCTATCAATTTACCCTTTTGAATGACCAATACTAATTTTAATCATTTTCAATCAAAAAAATTTCGATCAAATTTCTTGTAAATGATAAATCAACACAAGTAAACAATTAAAAGCACAGCTCGGTTGTCTTGGTTACTGTACAAACTTTATTTACTTTAAGAGAGTCTCATTATCTGGCAGTGACTGTAAATAAATAAACTAAATGTAATCCAAAACAATAAAAATGTATTAATACATTATAAATAATATTAAATATGATTGTAAACATATTTACAATCATAATCTTTTTCAGTAGATTAATGTTATTGATATTTGATGTGTTTTTTTGGCAAAAATTTCAATATTAGTCTCTGTTAAGATACTCTGATTGTTAACCTTGATTTTTTCTTTATCCTTAAATGTAATTATAGTTAAGTGTCCATTTGGATGATATCGAATCGTCAACTGCCGTTTATCATGATGATGTTGATCCAAGTGAACCAACGTCCAGTATTGGGTCATCGTCGACCACAAACCATTATTATTATCCAGGTTCATCGACCACTACTCCCAATTATGTGAATAGTGATTCTGGTGATTCAATCAAATCAAATGGTGGGAATAATTCCAGTGGGTCATCATCATCATCAAGAATCAACACCAATCGACAGTGAATTGATTACAGTTTTAGGTTCAACTACTGAGAATCCATTTACACCAATGACCATCACAAGCACAACCACCAACACACCAAAAGCATCATTATCATCATCACCTTCATATTCATTACCTGATTGGCCTCACAGAGGAGATGGACTATCATCAGCTGATAAACATGATTAAGCTTGGTTATACACCACAATCAAATATGAAATATCCATATGATTATGAGAATACAAAGATTTATATTAACCATGGCGGCTCAGATCCAGGGCGACCTTATTTGGGTGAAGCGGCTTATAATCCAAATGGATACGGTACCGATTCGGGTAATGTTGATTCAGATTATGGATTTGAACCGCTTGGTTCTGGTCCAAGGCCTTATGGTCACTTTCCAACATCATCATCTTCATCATCATCTTCATCATCAACAGATGAAGAAGATTTGAATCGAGGAAATTCACATGATGTCCAAGAAACGAGTAAAAAACCTTCGTTTGCTGATCCACCGAATGAGGTTGAACATTCATACAAAACTTCATCTTCTTCGTCTAAGTCGAACGTTGATTTAGCCACTGTTTCCACAGAATCGATTCCAGATATCGCAATTTCAAATGGTTCACCAATTTCTCGAGGTTATTCATCACCAATGCCCGATATTCATGAAGACTCAAATCGAGATAATTCAAATTCTGGTGGTTTCAAGCCTTTTTTCTTGGATAAAAATTCACCAGCAGGAGGACCAAGAAAATATTCAACAGTCGCTCCTCCAATTCTTGAAATTGAAGCTGCTGATAATTCAGGAAAAATGCTCAAAGATTAACACCATTGACATCTAGTGCCTACTATTCACGTCCATTGACCACAACAATGGACAAAGATGCTTATAGCAATAAGGTTATCGGAAACATCGGTGGTAAAAGTAACACTTTAAATGGAAACAATGGAATAACCAATAATCTAAATTCTAAATCGAGAGTAAATAAACCAACAAAATATTCGACTTATTTTTTATTCAATGATAATATACAACGACCAACAAGTCCACATTTATCACAATCAACCAATGGTAAGAAAAATCTACAAATTCAATCAATTTTTTTTTCGAAATTACGAATTCTCATCTAATTGAACTTTGTTTTCTAGTCTCACCAGGCCAGTTATCTGCTTCCATATCATCGATATCATCGGCGCCAACCGTTAGCTCCGCTTTCCTGGAAAGTCTAGCGATCTGTCCGTCAATAAATAAATATACAAAAGTAGAAAATTTTGTTAACTGGTCACAGGAACAGTTCCATAAAAAGTATCAAGCCGATGGAGACTTTCATTTTCCACTAAATAAACAATGTCAGAAAGCGATTGTCGAATGGCCGCGTCTTCAGCCAATTCTTCAATTGGTCGATAGCCAATTTCTGTCGGTGGAAAAGCAAAATTTGGTCCAAAATTGAAAGTTAATGAAACATTTTTGTACAGTGAAGCCGCCGGATAATATACTCCACTGTAAATATCTTCGAACGCTGTTCCCACTTGTTGGCCGTTTTTGAAGTAAATTATTTTACTTCCTTTCAATGGTCTTAATTTTTTTGTTATTGCAGGAATATCGTCTTTCTCCTCGAAATAAAGATGACTTTTAAATTTGATCAAAGGTTTTTCTTTGTAGGTTGGAGGTAAATAATTAGGCTTATTGGATGAATTTTGATCTTCATCTTTTGGAAGAACAATCAAAATTCCAACCACATCTCCATGACCATAACCAAAGTCTGTAAAATGATGACCACAACTATCATGAAATTTAGTTCCTTTCCTTGATCTCCATGAGTAACTATATTTGTCATATCCACAAGGTCCTTGTAAATTACCTAATTCTTGGCTCCAGCCGAGACGAACATGTGAACCATCAGGCATATCGTTAATTTTAATTTCATAAAACCATGAACCATAATGAGCACCATGAGTTGCACGAGCCATACAATAACCTTTGTCACCAATTACTGTCAATCTATCCTCTGATACTTTTAATTGTGGTGCTCTATCATGCATAGCAATTAAAACCGATTTAGGGCAAAAATTACGATACAACCAACCGGGAATCGGTCTACCACCATATTCGGAAGTTTCATCAAATTCTTGGCGAAAAGGTCCATGGGGGTCAGGTTCGGCCAGAATATATCTAAAATTGTCTTTGTTGAACGGATGCTCAGTGGGATAACCATTAGCCGGTAATTTGGTAAATTCCGATTTAGGTTTTCGGTTACCAGGACCAATGCCTTGATTTTGAGTGGTTGGTGGTTTACGTTTAGCACCCCGACGAATCATAATAAATAAAAGATGAAAATAGATGAAACCAAATTGAACACTTGGGTTATTCCAATAAAAGAAAAAAAAACAAACAGTTAATCCTAAATAGCCAGAAATGGGATCAAGTTTTAATGAATTGAGTCCAATGGCAATTCAGTTAAACACAAATTTTGAGATCAAAATCCACAAGAGCTGATACCACATGAGATGTTTTCACCAGAGAAAAAAAACAGAACTTTCTGAAATTATTGATTATTTTATCAATTATATTTTTTCTGTTACTACAATTGTAATTAAATTGATCATAAATCACAGTTTTCATAAACAAACTATAGACTCAAAGAAAAGAAAATTAAACTTTATATGGAAAGCACAATAGATGGCAGGGTAAGTCGAAATAGCGCCTTTTTCAAAAAGAAAAAATGAAAGAATTTAGATCAATAAAATCGAAGAGAAGAAAAAAATAATCAACAATTAAGAATGAAGAATAATTAAAAAACTTAGACACAATAAATTTCTTGTGAAATTCCATAAATTTGATTTAGTTCTAATCTTGATCAAGAAAAGATATTGTTTCTTTGATGATTAATATTAAAAAATTGTGATCGACTCTGACAATTAACTTAATTTCGCTGTAATTAACAGTTGATATTATTAGGAATTAGAAATTAGAAATTAATTGTTATAATGACATTTTTTAATTGATCAATTTTTTCGAATATCGATGGTGATTATAAGTAGAGGAAAAGAAGTTAAATTGATTGGATTGACACAACCAATTGATTTGATCGAAAATTGTTTCTGTTAATTGCCTGAGGGTTGGAACAAGAAAGAGGAGGAGATGATGAAGATAAAGATGATGATAAGGGTTGATCATCATACCCTCTAACACCGTAACCCAACTACTACTAAGTTAGCACGTTCTCATCAACATCATCATTATCATCATCTTAATACCGTTAACTTGTTACTCGAGTTGAAGACTATTGATGTTAATCAAGTTCCGAACGATAATAAGAATATTATTTTTTCGTCTCTTTCTTTTTTCTTCATCATCATTATCATCATTTTCATGATAATCAACTTTACGGATCAACCTAATTTACTTGATTGTCGGGATTTTAAATATTAACTGTAACTAAATCAAGAAGATCCAGTTTCTCGTAGCCAATCATTTCCGTCTTTAACCTTTTCTCTTAACCTTGTTGATTACTTTGTTTACTATTTACATCATCCACCTTTTATCATCCTCATCCTCATCCTTTTCATCATCATCATCATCTTCATCTTCATCTTCATCTCTCTCACTCACTCTCTTGCCTATCCTGATCTTTTAATCACAATCAATAGGCAATCAACTTGTGTCTGAGTGTTGATCAACAAATTGTTTTTTTTGTCTTCATTGATTTGTGATTTGATTTCCTATGACAATTAATGGGGATCCTTATTAATTGTTGGTGAACAGTTAATTGTGTACATCACTGATATACAATATGGTTAACAATTTAAACTTATTAACTTGAGATTTTCAAGTCAAGCGTCAACAATTTATATTCATCTCTGAAATCAACGTGTTTAATTGTTACTTTGTAATTGTTGATTGTTATTAGAGTTCATCCAATCTTTATCATCAAAATCACTATCATCATAACTTAATTGTAACAATTTAAATCATCAAAAACATGGATAGTTTTCAAATGGATTATGCCAGTGATTATGGTAAGTTAATCAAATTAGTCTTAATTGTTGGTGATGTGATTTTCTTGGACAATTAATAAGTAAACTAAAAACTAAACTTATCAATTTCTGTGCTGTGATAATTTAATCATAATTAATTAGAAAAATATTAATTAGATGGACTGAGAATTGAACGAAAACTCAATTGGATTGTCTTTAAATTGTGAATAAGATTTTAATTGTTATTTGTTAAAGGAAATAAAACCTTTTACCATTTTTAATTGTTCTCGCAAATTGTAGTGATTAAGAAAAGAAATATCAATATTTTTGATTACAGTTAATTCCCTGTAGTGTTGATTATAATTATTACGATGATTAAGATCAAATTGAAACTGGTTACCCGGTAGTTTCCTCTTGATGATCAATTCTTGATTCTAAATCAACTTGAAACTGAATTGGTTAATCATGATGGTGATTAAAAGTTCTGGTTAAAATCTGGTTTAACAGGAAATCACATTTTGACCGATTAACATTGTAATTAGAAAAATAAATTTACCGATGATAATCAAGACAATTTATTAATTACAATCAACAATTTAGCAAAGTTCAACATTTACCCGATTACCTTTAAATTGTGTTAAGAGTCACAATTAACTCACTAGTTTTTACATTGACTTTTAATTGCTACTAACAAAAGTTAATCATCTTAAATTGTTGTCTATTGATAAATGTGTTTGATTATTTTTAATTATCTCACAAACTTGAACTTGTTTTAAACAATCAACTGTAAATGATTAACTTTCAACGTTTGTATTGATTAAGAAAAATGTATTCACTTGATCAACAACAATCAACTTAACATGACAATTATCATTTGAAACACAATCAATTTTAACAATCAATATAATCAAAAGGTTAGATTGTTATATTTTTTGATTACAATTAACAGCTGATTGTAATTAGTTAAGGATGAAAGATAATCAAATGATAAAATTTGTTTAAAAATTGATAAAATAAACGGAAAACAAAACAATTAACTAATCACAATCTACTCAGTGATATTATAACATGATAATATTGATTACAACAATTAAGAATCATATTAAACAATGTTGTAAACAATAAGTTGGACTCTTAATTAGTCTTAATTACTAATTGTTATTATTTTTCATCTTACACAATTAGATACTGTTAGGTGTTTCGTTAAGAATACCCAGAGTTAATTTCGGGGCCAAGGCTAACTCAAACCAAGATCTTTAATAGATCAAGTATCTCAAACCAGAATAAAGTCAAAGACTTTTAAGGTTAACTGACCACATATACAAAGGAGGGCAGAACGTAAAACTTATTAATTCAAATGTAAATTTAATAACACAAAGATAAATGAGAACAGAATTGAGACTGAATTAAGGTGATAATTGTAACAGTAATTAAGGAAAATAAAGGTAATTGTAGTTGTAAGGAAATGAGTAAATATAATAGAAAGGGCAAGTGACAAGTAAGACTTGTGGGGTGAGTAACAACTGACTGTGTTAAGAGAATAGAATTTGTTTATATTCTATTCTAAAATGGCAGTTGAGAGCGAAATTTAAAATGATTAACCAATGAATTTTAAATGAGATAAATAAAGAGAGGGGTCGAAAACAGTCAATGACTGTACATCCCTTACAGATCCCCAGGACAAAGCTGAGAACGGACTTTTTATCGGGTTCTTCGCAGCCCTAAACAAGTCAAAGACTTTTTTCGATCTTCGGTAAACTTATAAGGCTCAGCAATGAGAGAATCTTCAATTGGTTGAATGTAATTAAAGGCATCGTATTTCTGTTTACGCTCTTTTTTAGTCTTTTCACTTCCTTTATCAAACGGAGTAACTTTAAATGATTTCGGCCAGTCACCAATGAAGTCCATAGTTTTTCTGAGTAGATTTGCCATGTATTCATTTTTCGGATAGATGAAACCTCGAAAACCTTGGTTGAAATCGGCGGTGTCGACTAAAGTCAGTTTGACTTTTTCAATTCGATCAAAATCGATGAGGTAGGAGTAGAGTGTGTAGGCGGCATCAACTAATGGTGAATGTACCTTTTCTTGGAGCACAACACTAAATAACAATAGAGCACAATATTTGAGTCCGATTGATTGATTCGATGAGTAACAATTGTAATATGAACCAATACAAATAATTCTGGGAAGAAGATAAAGATGATCATTGATTGAGAAGAATAGAGTCACAAAATCTCCTGTTTGTCCAGCGACAATGATTCGATCATATTGACGAAGGATATTGAGAACCTCGTGTCTAACGCGTTTAAAGTTTTTCGCATTCGCCGTATCTTTAGGAACTAAACCATGAAACTCTGTTCCGAATCCTTTTTTATCGAGAGCTGATGTTGGGTGACGGATAAATTCGTGGTAAATGACTCGAGCGGAAGCGTCGATGATGGCAACCCAAACTGGAACATTGTAACAATAACCATTTTTCATTCTAACTTTGGCATTTTCCAAGTCGATTGAACAAATTTTGAGTCCCAATTCATTTGCTTTATTTGCGGCGTTAGTAAGCTCAATGGCGTATTCTCTTGGTGGAGCCATGTCTCTACTAGAAGTTACTAACTTCCTTATGAGAGTTTCTCTATTTATTTTTTCTTTTCTCAATCTTTCTTTCTTATTCCATTCAGCTGGATTCTTTTGTCTGTATTCAAATGCTTCTTTGGCTAACTTAGATTTGAAATTATCTCTCCATCCTTCTACCTTAGGTGTTGGACCTGTCGAATCGGGTACATAACTCACAGCTTCAGTGAAGGTGTAATTCGATGATGTTGATGGAGCGTCGATTGACTTTGTTAAAGTCAATGACTTTAATTCAGGGTTAACTGGTTCATTTGGGTTGTTGATCAATTTCGGAATTAACCCAAGTTTTCTTTGTTGTTTTCTCTCTTTAGCTTCTTTACGCTTTTCAGCTTTTGTACGATAACAATAAATTTTATCTAAATTTGATTTGAGCTTATCAGAGGTTAGTTCAGAATTTGTAGAACTTTCATTCCAATCGTCATCATCTTCTACTAATTGTGTGGATGTTGATGGCATAATCGATGTAACATTTTCACTTGATGATGAGGATGGAGTTGAGAGAATTGTTGGTGATGATGATGCTTTATTTTTCTCTCTTTCTTCATCTTCTTTAATGATATCGGCCCAGATAACTGATGTTGATGGATATTGAGAGTCGCTTTTGGCTTTTCCAAGCTTCTCTTTCTCTCTAACATCGGCGCAAGGAAAGACGATTTTTAAAGCATCTTCTTCGGTTGAGTCTTTTGGTGATGAAGATGGTGAGAAAAATAAAGTCAATGACTTTTTGGGTGAAGCCGTATGGTGATGTTGGCGAACGAATTCATTCCAATTTCGACTTCTTCTTACAACTGATTCATTCGGATTTGGTGATTGAGCTTTTCGCTTTGTTGATCTGTTAGGAACTTCAACTATTTCTTCAATGTTAGCATTTTCAAAAATGTCACAGAAACCGTCCATCCAAACTTGTTGTATTGCGATGGGATCATTTTGATGAGTCTCAAATTGAGGAGCCACTTTAATACACTTATACGTTGAAGAGTTAATTGGATCATTTGGTTCCTTGAAAACTTCACCAGTGTAAAGGTCATCAAATTTGAAGTCAGATGACTTCAAGGAGCACCAACGATGAACATGTTTAACTGCTAAATCGTATTCACCAATGAATGAGCATTTACTGTAGATACATCTAACTGAGTAATTGTTGAATTGTTCTGGTCTTGCGATATTGATGATTAAACTTGTTGTTGGACAGGCTATGGTAATACATGTAAATTGTTGTCCAATCAAGTCAATGACTTGCTCTTTGCGGATGATGTGGTTGTGATCGAGTTTATACAAAATAACCAAATAATAGGCACATTTAAGACAGTACTTTAGATCACAAGAACCACAACCTACTGGCTCACGAGCAATTTGGCAACACAAAACGCAAATGTCTTTTGGTCTTGGTTCGCAAGAGCTTTTTGAGATCACAAATCCTGGTTCAGGTTTTACCAATTGGTTGGCTTTTTTAAGCGTTGCGTCGTCATAGTCACATCTTGTAGAGATCTTTTCTTTGATGTAATCGTAAAAGATTGAAGATTCAATGATGTTCACTTTGTCTTCAACAGGTAAAGCTCTGTATTGAGACATTATAAGTCTATGACTTTAGCACTTAGCACAATTAATACAAATGGTTTGGTTTTGAAGAAAAAGTCAAAGACTTTCAACAGGAAACTTAAAAATTTTCGGAGAGAAGTCAAAGACTTTAAACAGGAAAACACAATAATTTGTTAATTGTTGCTGAATTTAGAGTTGATTTGATTGTAATAGATATAAACGATTAAAGGTGAAAGTAAAGGTTGATTTTTAGCTTTTCACAATTATAAAGATGAAACAAAGAGATGATGATTAAAGGGTGACCAATGTTAAAATGAGCGTGAGAAAAAAAAATCACTGATTTTTAAGCAAATAGATCTAGTTAATTGGCGCACTAATTGATTTAGCTTTTGTCTTTCTTTGTTGAAAATTGATATTTAAAAGATACTTAAAATTGATGATGATGAAATGTAGAAAGTGAGTTAAGTCATAGACTTAAGCTTCATTAATTAACCCATTTCTTTCTTGGAGCTTAATATGAACGAAATTTGATTTCTCCATTTTCTGGGTTTTAATATTCATCATTGAAACGGCTGAATCATAAACTTCTATCACAATGTATTTGCCCTCGAAAGTTGGTGTTAATTTTCCAAGTTCTTTACTATGTAGATGAACTTTTTGCAACAATATCACCAGGCTTAAATGGTTTATCTTTTTCAATTTGTTGTTCTAACCTTTTCTCTTGATTGTTCAACATTTTTTCTCGAACTTGGTTTCGTAGTTGATTGATGTCTACATGATCATTATCAGCTGATATTTCGAGTTCATTTAAAAGTGGATTATTAGGTTGACAATTGAAGAGAAGTTCATGAGGTGAAAGTCCGAGACTTTCTGAT